AGATAGATAGATAGATAGATAGATAAATAAATAAATAAATAAATAAATAAATAAATAAATAAATAAATAAATAAAAGTGTTGTGGGCCTCAAGTTAGTGAAAGAATATGGGGACACGTAGGGGCACATCACAGTACCCATCCCATTTTTGTTTAATGGAAGGACTGGCACCAAAAGGACCCGAAAGCAAATAAGGCACTCCTCAAATCACCTGAAAGAGGAACAGTAGAATATCATACTGAGTACTTGAGAATTCATAATTCCTCTGGAATAAATGGTGAAATAACCTACAGTCCACAATCTCACAGCAGAACATTTCTACAACATTTCTTATGACAGCTGAGGAAGGCCTTTGTAAGTGAGTTACTAGCTTCACAATGATTTTTATTTTCAGAAAAACAGATACAATTTTAAATGATATTGGATTAAATTTCAGGAATGTATATTCCCACTTGCAATTTATATTATTCTAAGAAATGCCCAGGCAGATATTTGTCTTCCCTCCCCAAATTGGTGCTGCTGGGGTGGATTGGTCCACTCTTTTTCTTGCTGTCCACTTGATGAGTGAACCAATTCACCCCAGCTTGCCCCTGGAGCACCACAACCCATACTTTTTTGAGATTGTCAGAGGCTTCTACTTTTTTGGTGCAGGTTGTTCCTAGTACATGTGGTCACTGAAAAGGGACTAAAATTGAGCCTAGCTACTTCCAGTTTGGATTTCTGTATGATTAAGTGGTTAATACATGAGTGGTTAATAAACAAGCTGCTTCAGGATATTAGCAAACGGAACACTTAAGAAAGCAAAGAAAGACACATTGGGTTTTTTTCTCCTTTTTCCCCCTGGAAAGTTTGTCTGTTGCGTGCAAAAGTGAGGTGGAAAAGGCGAGCGTGGCTTGAAGGCAAAGTGCGAATGGAGAAGATGTGACATAAAAAGTGACCTTACACATCACTGTGGGAAAGCGAGTAGTGTTCTGAATTTTTATAAACCTCTTTTATGTTTCTTTCCATGTTGTGGGCAACCATATCTAGCCATGTACTACTGATTAAGGGCATTCATCTTCTTAACTACAAACCAGAGACTAACCAGGGAAGAAAGCTCTCGCTCTCTCTCTTTTCCCCAAATCCCCCATCCCAGGTCACATAACATTCTGTTACTGTCACCTACCTCGTCATTTGTAATTGGGATTGCAACAAAATAATTAGGCATATATCTCTCATGTTTCTTGGATACTGGTTGTGTTTCACACCCATGCACTTTCTTCTCCACATTTGCTGTCTGTGCACCTTCATCTAAATTAAGTTGCTTCTGACCAGAGGCACTAACATTGTCATTTCCCTGCTCCTGGTGCAGCTCAGTGGTGAATTCTTCCGAGTCTTCTTTACTCACACCCTGTGGATGAATATATGGTATTTTTGTAGTTGTTATATCTTGGCTGTTATCATGCAGCTTATTTTCAGCTATTCCTACCTCTGATCTATTTTCTTTTTGATTTGTCTGTAGGAATTGTGCAAATTTCATCTGCTCAGTGCTTGGATTAAGGCTATTATGCTGCAGGAAGTTCACAGTTGAATCATTTGTATTTTGCTGAAGCAACATTGGTTCTATCACATCTAGCTTTTCCCAATCTTGAGGCTGCTGGTGCTGCTTCACTAGAGGAGCTACATCCCATTTCTTATATCGGGCCTGCTGATGATCTTGGATTATCTGAGCAGCATCTTCGGATGTGTTGGTGGGCTGCCAGTGGACATTCTTATGGGGATGTTCTCCTCCTTGACCCTTTTGCTGGATCTGCACAGTTACACTTGGGCCTGCTATCTCTTCTCCTGAAGTTGGCTGTTGTACCTTTATGGACACACTGGCTTCATCAACATTGTTGTGATTTTGTTGCATTTCAACAATAACAGATGGCATATTTTGTCCTTGAGGTTGTACTTGTATGGTCACCTCTGGATCCTTTTCATGGCTATCCCACAACTGCTGAATTGTCACTGTCACATACTGTGTCTCATTTCTTTCCCCTTTCTGCTCGACATGAACCACCAGAGATGGTGCCTTTTTTTCTTTGGCCAATTCCATATGAGTTTGCACTGCAAGATAGGAGGAAGGCCTTACTCTGGCCTGTTGTGTATTCCATTCCATTACTTGCCAACTTTTACTCGTTTCCAAAGTTTTCTTTGTACAGCATGAGCTGCTGTGGATTCACTGCTTTCGGCCTACAACAACAACACTTTCTCTCCCAAAACAGGCTCCGCGTCCAACATTTTTCCTCTTTCTAAGCTTGAAATTACTTTTGTAAAAAACTAAAAGAGATTAAGAAGAAGAAAAGTGTTAACACCAAATGCCAGAAACCTAGTAAGAAACAAACAACAGATCTGTCTGATTATATCGAACATATAGTAAAAAAAAAAGTTGAACTCAAGAAAAAAGTAGTATTAATCTAGGAAGACCATATTGGTCCACTATCTCTGATAGTCCACAAGTAGATCAGCATCTGTCTTATTTCACAGAGACCGTCTTATCTTTCAAAGCGTTCTCTATTTGAAAGTTGTCCAGTCTAAGACTAGTTTAAATACAAACAGCAAACAGAAGAGAGGCTTTGAATTTGATCTCAGCAGTTAGTATCTGAAGAGGAGATTGTGTAGGCACACTGGTCCAAGTTTTGGTCACCCTACTCCAGTGAGATCCATTGTATTATTATTTCTAAATATGCATGTGTATAAATGTGTACAACGATTATGAAAATGTACTGTATCCTTTTGATGACTTATTTTGATTTTGGGGGACTGCAGAAATGGCCATCCTCTTCACAGGTTGTCCAAGCAGCACAAGCATTTTGGTGTTGCAAACAAGTAGAAAAAGGAGGAAGGAGGTTTTACAAAATCAAGCAGGAAAAAGAGCCATTTAAATGTAAAAGCCATTGTAAAATTACTGTCACTACCAGAAATATAGAGAAAGCATTAATTGTGATATCTTGCAATTCAAGGG